TATATATATATATATATATATATATATATATATATATATATATATATATATATATATATATATATATATATATTCCATAATTGGTCTTCTATAACAGGGGGTTTCCCTATTTAGTCATCTATTATTAAAAATTACCGTGGTGGTCCTTCTTTTATGGGTATCTTTCCACAAATAGTCGTTTTTTTATCTTCTATCATGTTGGTATTAATTTGAGGATTAAAAGTGTAATTTCACAAAGATAATATATCTTTCTTGTCATACAAAATTCCATAGGCCGCTCTTGATGCGTCGTTTGTGAATTACAATCGCATTCTACTATAATCATAGTCTACAAATGTGATCTTTCATCAAAATTCTAGCGCACAATCATAGTCATTTATTTGTGTTATCAGTCTAACCAATATCAGAATACGTCACTAGACATAAGGTTGATGGCAAATTATTTTTTTAGCCTTTAAATTAACACCAACATGGCATAAAATCAACAAAAGAACCATTTATAGAAAGGCACCCATAAAAGAAGAACTACGGGGGTAATATTTGATAATAGAGGGCTAAATATGGAAACCCCCTTGTTATAAAGGACCAATTATAGAATTTACTCATATATATATATATATATATATATATATATATAATGGACTTTATTATTTTATGAAATTATGCAGTAATGGAAGCAAGACAAAGAGCCATACCTTTGGTGGTAAATGATTTGACAAAAGTGCATTAGTCCTCCGCAATATAAACTGAGACACATATATGCTAATAATTAGTTGTATTAGTTATCTCTATTCAGAAAGAAATAACAGGAGCAGCATGAGTTCCTTCACTTCCTTGCCTCCTTATATAAGCACTTTAGAGATTATCACAATTGCTAAAGCAGGTATAGAACTAACACATCCAAGAAATGCAACAATATCACAATTGCTAAAGCAGGTATAGAGATTATCACAATTGCTAAAGCAGGTATAGAACTAACACATCCAAGAAATGCAACAATATCACAACTGCTAAAGCAGGTATAGAGATTATCACAATTGCTAAAGCAGGTATAGAACTAACACATCCAAGAAATGCAACAATATCAGAAGATGCTTGCCTGATTAACTTTTGTACTCAGCTCTGTAGAACGTTCGGTACCTAACCTCTTTTCTTCTTCAGTAGCCGAGGGTTCTCTACCACAAACAATGGGCATCTAAAGTAGCATTTTAGCAATCAGAAATGCATTTTATATTTAAAATCCATATCACACTGAAATGAAACATTCTGCTTATCTCCACTGAGTTGAGAAATGTAGCAGCAAGAATCATTAAGTGACAGATGAAAATCTTTTAATAAATGCTGATCTACTAGGCTGACCTCATAGTAACGGCGAAAGTATGCAGCATCACCCAAGACTCCAGGGTTAGTAAAATTTACCATGGAATAAAACTCCTCTAGATCATTCTGTAAGTTAAATGTAAACAAAATAGTGCATTAAATCAAAGGATGATAAAATTTGACAGAAAAACTGAATTATAAATTTGATACAATACTCACTTGCATTGGAGTTCCTGACAATAAAATGCGGCGCTTGCATGATAATGAAGCCAATGCCTAATGAAACAAGCCAGTTATCAGTGATCTCATATTGGTTCTTGAAAACGTTGTACTTACAAAAAAACAAGCAAAGTAAGATTCATCATTGTGTACGAATGGTATCTTACTCGATTAGTCAATGTCTGATCATTTTTCAGCCTGTGAGCCTCATCGCATATGAGGAGGTCACATGAACTAGAATTGCTAAACTTTGAAGTATGCATCCTAAATGTCTCATAGGAAACAATTAATACCTGGAATTAGGTCACATGAATCAATATATATACAGTTCACCATAAGCGCCTCAGTTTTAAAGTAGATGTATATTGAAAAGAAATTACTTGTAAATTGCTACTGGAACTGGTAAAACTGTGAATGCCAGAGATGACATCTTCTCGAGTGCTCTCACTCAGAGCAACAAGTTTAACCCTTTCCCCAACCCATTTCTTTATTTCAGCCTCCCAATTAGATACAAGACTGGTTGGGGTCACAATTATTGCTTTCTTGACCATTGCTTTTCCATCAAAACCTTGGCGAAGAAGAGTATAAAGCAATGTGATTGACTGCAATGTCTTCCCTAGACTGCACAGAAAGAACAGTCGCCGTTCAAATTAAAATCTTTCAACTAATAAGAAAGCAGAACTGCTGCAGACTATGCACCGGAATATTTACCCCATATCGTCTGCTAAAATGCATCCATTGATGTTGGAAGAGCTCAAAAGTCCTGAAACACATTCAAACATGAATTGGACACCTTCTCTGCAAGTAAAACCAAAGAACAAAATTCCTCAATCTTTACAATAAGTTATTATCGACTAAAACTCCAATTCTAGAACAAAAATATATTCTTGGAGGAAAATAATAACAATTGTAAACGTTTTAAAAATTGATTACAATTAGCATTTCGAAGCTTAATCAAATTTGAGGTTACAAACCAATGTGTTCAATATAAACATACAGTCAGCAACAAATATCAAATTGATCACATGGTGATGCTTCCAGATGATCTTGAAGCAATAAGCACTTACATCACCATACCTTCTACAAACACTACCTTGCGAACTTTTAAAAACAAATCATGTTCTGTACTCATTAACATATAAGTAGTACAGTACCTTTGATGAGGTCGAAGGAACTTAACCAGTAATGGTTCCACTGCTATAGGTTCTGAAGTAGAGCATTCGTCTCCGATTTCTTCAGGTTGCCACAACACCAATGGTTCAATATCTGGCGGCAGAGATACCTCATCTTCAAACACATCTTTCTCGGCACTTTCGAGAGAATTGACCCTGTTTGTGAGTGCAATCAATGCTGGCCTCGTGGACCCCCATGGCACAAACTTTTTGCGAGCCCAGAGACGGTGTGCAAGATCTTCTTTGCTACTGCTATAACCATTTGAGCTAGGAGGTTTAAAGGGCTTTCTGATGTTGACAGCTGCATCAGCCACTGAATAGACTCGTGGAAGTATAGATTGTCTCCTTACTTCAAGGTTTCCCCTAGTTACATGGCACGAAGACAATCGTGGGCTTTTAGCTTTAACAATTAGTACTAAGGACAGAAATCAATCTATGGACATAAACAATTGTTTTGATATTAAGAAATTAAACGAGAGCATTTGAAAATTGGATGCCCTAGATTACCAGCAAAGATCTTCCCCTTCAATCTCTTCCGATGAAACATATAATTAATCATAACTCTAGAATCGTAATTAGGTTTACATGGATAAGAAATTTAAAGCACCTGACTAGAGCGGCAACATTTTCCGACTTTCGATCTTTAGGACCGGGGCGGATACTGGTTTTTTGAGCTACATGGCCGTCATCTTCGTCCGCGCTATTAACATTGTAATCGAGGTCGTCCTCTTCTTCATTCTCGGTCTCGATGATGGACTCATCGCTCGACTCGCTTGGTTCAGAAGAGGAAAGCACCTCGTCTTCTTCTTCCATTTCGCAACCTGAGGTGCTTCTTCTTTCACACGCTATTACTGCGTTGTGCTCTTTGCATTTAGTTTCAAATCTGGATGTCTTTTGGCGGTAAATTGGCGGCACAGATAACTATTTTGGGCAGGGACAATGGAGGGGCAAATATAGAATCATCACACTTAGTGTTGAGAAGGAATTTGTAAATTAGTGTCCTGTTGTGTAGATAAAATTTACTTTATATTGTGTAATACAGTTGTATTGGCCCGTGAGCCTTCTCTTGTAAAACCCTAGGCTGCTTTTCTCTATATAAGGGAGCTATTATCAATAAAGAATATATACATCTCCCGCAACACGTTATCAGCACTGCTCAACTCTAATTTTTTCCGTCCGCCTCCCTCTCCTGTTTTTTTTGCCGCCGTTCTCCACTGTGCATCGAAAAGGAAAAGAACACCCATCGCCTTCTCCTCTGTGATTCCCATCGTCTGAGTTTCCCCACGCCGCCATCGCTAGTCGCCGCCGATTTTCTTTCGTCCGTTTCCAAAAACCATCGACAGAGCGAGAAGACAACCTTGATAATTGGCTGCGCTACAAACCCAAACGAGAGGAAGACAAATTGCGGAACTTCTTTTCTTGCCGCTGGACCAAATTTTGAGAAAAGGAATAGAGCAGAGCCAAATTTCAGATCTTCTTTTCCAAATTTTCGATCCCCAAAGTCCAGGCATGAATCGAGGTGAACTTGAGTGCTTAATAGATAGTGGGACTACCCATACCATTTTGCGAAATAGGCAACTATTTGTTAACTTGGTAGCCTATAATTCATCTGTGACAACAATGATTGGTTCGTCACATGTAATTCAAGGACGTGGCACTCCCATTTTCTTACTCCCTAATGGTACATTGATTAAAGCCATAAATGCTCTATATGCACCTAGAGCTACTCGAACCTTGTTAAGTTTCAAAGACATCCGTGACAATGATTTTCATGTTGAAACTCATTGTGAGAATGGTATTGAATACCTTTACATTACTTCTAATGAATGCGGAAGAAAGCGCATCTTAGAGAAGTTTAAGGGTAAGAGTAGTGGACTGTATATCACTACAATTCGAATAATTGAATCTTATTCTATAAGTCATGATGACATAAGGGATACTGAACGATATAGACTTTGGCATGATCGACTAGGGCATCCTGGTCGTGACATGATGANTTGAAACTCATTGTGAGAATGGTATTGAATACCTTTACATTACTTCTAATGAATGCGGAAGAAAGCGCATCTTAGAGAAGTTTAAGGGTAAGAGTAGTGGACTGTATATCACTACAATTCGAATAATTGAATCTTATTCTATAAGTCATGATGACATAAGGGATACTGAACGATATAGACTTTGGCATGATCGACTAGGGCATCCTGGTCGTGACATGATGATTCGTATCTTAAAAAACTCTCACGGTCATCCTTTCTTTCGAGGCAAGGACAAAGTGACACAAAAACCCGATAGCTTGAAAAGCGGTCGGCCCAATCTTGCCCAACTCGGACGAATGCCTTCTAAAGAAATTGAAGCACCATCCTCGTCTCAAAATAATTTTTTGACAATGTCACATGCCCACAAATCCTTTTGCAAAGCCTGCTCATTAGCAAAAACAGGATCACGACCATCCTATGCTAAAGATTCAAAAGAAAATATACCATTCCTACAACGGATACAAGGAGATATATGTGGGCCGATACAACCAGAAAGCGGACCATTTCGGTATTTTATGGTACTGGTTGATGCCTCGACACGTTGGTCACACATTACATTATTATCAACAAGAAATGCTGCATTTGCAAAACTCTTGGCACAAATAATTCGTTTAAGGGCTCACCACCCTAACCACCCGATCAAGTCTATAAGACTTGACAATGCTGCAGAGTTTACATCTAAGAACTTTGATGATTATTGTATGGCCATCGGGATCGATGTAGAGCATTCTGTTCCCCATGTACACACGCAAAATGGCCTTGCAGAAGCAACCATTAAAAGACTACAAATGGTAGCTCGGGCATTGATTATGCGTTCTAATTTGCCCACATCTGCATGGGGTCATGTCATATTACATGCAGCTTTACTTATTCGCTTGAGACCCACTGCTTCACAACCATTCTCTGCATACCAGTTGGTGACTTGTTATGAGCCTGACATTTCACACTTACGGATATTTGGTTGTGCAGTGTATGTGCCGATTGCGCCCCCACAGCGCACTAAAATGGGTCCTCAAAGACGATTAAGTATTTATGTTGGATATGAATCCCAAACCATTATTCGCTATATAGAACCTTTCACAGGTGATCTTTTTACTGCTAGATTTGCAGATTGTCACTTTGATGAGACAGATTTCCCGTCGTTAGGGGGAGATAAGAAAAACTCTCCCGAACGACAGGAAATATCGTGATGTGTCCCCACACTGTCTCATTTTGACCTCCGTACTTCACATTGTGAAAGCGAAGTGAAAAGAATAATTGATCTCCAAAACGTGGCAAACTCGATGCCCGATTCATTTACTGATATTGCTAAAGTGACAAGATCACACATACCTGCTGCAAATGCACCTGCAAGGTTGCAAGTCCCAATTAAAAAGAAAAATGCCATAATGACATGCATTACATCCACACCGAGTGGAAGTGTGGGTGAAGCCGTGGCTCCTCAAAGGAAGAGAGGAAGGTCACTTGGTTCGATTGACACTCATCCAAGGAAGAAAAGGACGAGTGCGGCACAAACTAATCCGTTACACATCGATGTTGAACATCCATCCCATGAGATTATCTCTGATTATAGTTATGTCCACGAATAATTACTGGAGGACGCTCCAATGTTCGATATGATTCAAGAGAATAAAGAAATCTCAATGGATTATGAAAGTGCACATATATTACTAGAAAGATCTTCAACACACATAGATGATGTATTTGCTTTCAGTGTTGCTCTAGAGATAATAGAGCATGATGACATCGAACCACGCTTTATTGCAGAATGTCAACAAAGAGCGGATTGGCCTAAATGGAAAGAAGCAATCCAGGCAGAGCTCGATTCCTTGGCAAAAAGACAGATATTTGGTCCGGTAGTGCTAACCCCTCCAAGTGTAAAGCCTGTAGGACATAAATGGGTATTTGTCAGGAAACGTAACGAGAAGAATGAAGTCTTAAGATATAAGGCTCGTCTAGTGGTGCAAGGTTTCTCACAACGCCCTGGAATTGATTATGAGGAGACATACTCCCCTGTAATGGACATTATAACATTTAGGTACTTGGTGAGCTTAGAAGTTTCCGAAAAATTGGAAATGCAGCTTATGGATGTGGTTATTGCATATCTCTATGGGGATCTTGATTCTGAGATATACATGAAAGTACCAGACGGTGTTCCCTTACCCAAATCAAGTGACTCTAAACCACGGAGTGCGTTTGCGATCAGACTAAAACGCTCTCTTTATGGTTTGAAACAATCCGGCAGGATGTGGTATACCCGCCTAAGTGATTACTTGATTAAAGAGGGATATAAGAACGATGAAATATGTCCCTGCGTATTTATAAAGAAAGCAAGTTCTGGATTTGCAATTGTAGCCGTTTATGTTGATGATATGAACATAATAGGCACTCTTGATGAAATAAGAGAAACTGCAAATTATTTGAAATCTGAATTTGAGATGAAAGACCTTGGGAAAACTCGATTTTGTTTAGGCCTTGAACTAGAACATCGAGTTGGTGGGATATTAATCCACCAGTCTGCGTATGTCCAAAAGGTACTCAGGCG